ATTTCAAAAGTTCGCCTTAAGTGCAGAAATCAGTACTATAAAAATAATAACTATTAATTTAGTTTGGAGCTTGTGTACTTTAGAGTTTTCCAACTATTCACGTTTCAAAACGTAACATTGCCATCCCTCAATTCATATTAATGACTTGCCGTGTGATTGGCGTGAGTAAGCCCCACGAGAGCTGCCTTTGGCAGTTAATTTAGTTTTAGCTGTCAGAAGTTTTAAGTACGGCTCCGGCGGGCGGGGAGTGAGACAACGATATTCCCCTCCGATCGAGCCTCTATTGACAAGAAAACTCGATTGGAATCGTTCGGCGAAATCTGTCACTCGTAATTTTGTCATAAACAATTTCGAAGATTCATGATGCCCAGCTTCATGGAAGTGTCGACTTGATTCGTCTTAAGTCGACGAATGAAAGCTTTTGTACAAAGAGATGACATACTGTAAATACTGCAGTAGAACTATGTAGTAATCTCTGTCGCAGAAATTAAACTTATCTATTTAAGGGTTACCTTATGAAGGTATGTTAATACCTTCATAATATTCAAAATATAGAAACAAATGGAGACGAATCGTAAATATGGATCCTCATTAATGATCTTCAAAATTGGTTATCAAATTTTTATTAAATAAAGAATTAAAATTATTGCAAGGAATTAAGGAGAAAGACTTATGACGACTATTAAGACATTTTCACAAGGAACAGGAAACAAAAGAGTAATATTTTTTTTAATTTTAAATACTTCGGCGGAAGTAAATTTCATTAGCTTCGTGTAACCGAACCGCAATTCTCGCGGGATCTGTTCGGAGTAGGTTACCGATTCATTTCGAAATGTCAAAAATTAAAATAACAAATCCCGTTCCGGGAATAACACGGTTCGGGTTGATGGTGTAAAATATTTACATGAGGTTAATTAACAATTTAATGAACGAAACGGTTGAGCGGGTGACGCAATTATTTATGTTGATTTTCTACATAAGTACATTAATATGCAACTTTAAACGCATGTCTAAAGTATTAGGTACGAAATAGTAATGTGGATATTCATCATCGTCATTTCAGCCTGTTTGAGTCCACTGCTCAACATAGGCCTCACAGACCGCCACAAACCATGATCAGAGCCCGCTGCATTCATCGATTTCCTAATCACTTGCACAGCAAAGGTCGTGGATATTGTCAAGTCTTATAATAAATTCCTTGTAATTGATACCTTTTTTTTTTTTTTTTTTTTTTTTTTTTTTTTGGTATCGGGGGGGAAATCTTCAAAAGATACCCTGTCATGATATGACAGGGTTATGTGGGGTTCGTACCCACTAAAACCCCCTCGGTGGCCACCTTCTGTACCTTTGGAGGGACTCCGGGATCTCCTATGGAACGCACCGGTGTCCCTCGGTACTGAGCGTGAGCACGCCTCGGAGAAGGGTAAACCTTCCCCGATTCCCTCGCCGTCTTCCAGCAGCCCGAGACCACTTCGTGCTGCTGCCAATCCGTGTCCCCTTTTAGTCGCCTTTTACGACAGGCAGGGGATACCTTAGCTCTATTCTACGAGCCCGAGACTACAGGGCTGACGGGGCGCCTCGTCCATTTCTACCGACCCGGTGTCTTCGTCTCTGAGCGGAGTCGGCCCTCTCCCGTTCCCGCTCAGCGGTCTCCTTCTGAAGCATAACAGCTTCGCAGAAGGAGACCAGTGCCATCCAAGCGGATTTCTCCATCAGCGCAGCCGCCACTGCAACAGGTGGAGATAGGTCCTGCCCAATCTTTTGGACCAAGATCCGACGCTCTGACTCCCACGCGGGGCACTCAGCAAGCGTGTGCTGCGCGGAGTCCCGGTCCCCACCACAGTGGTGGCATTGCGTTGTCGGTTCGCGTCCAATTCTATTTAAGTACTCACCAAAGCATCCGTGCCCGGTGAGTACTTGCGTCAGACGAAAGGTGACGTGCGCAAATCCCCTCGCACTAAGCCAGGCTTCGAAGCTTGGCAGGAACGCAGTGACAATGACAATCCGTTGGCGCGAGTTCTGAGGTTCTCCCAAGCGCTCGCGCCAAATCTCAAACCCCCTTGTACGCTCCTGCTCCCGCACCTCTCCCGCATCCAGGGGCTCGGTATCATCCTGGGGTAACCGAAGGCGAGTATAAAACTCGCGCATCTATCTCCGCCAGGATGTCCAGTGGTGGGAACCGAGCTAGGATAGTGGCCGCCTCAAAGGATATCGTTCGATAACCTCGTGCGATTCTGATGGCCATTCTCCGCTGCAGGCTATAAAGTTTAGCTCTGCAGCGGCGAACGCTCGTTAGCCGGTGGAACCATACGGGCGCACCGTAGAGGGCCATCGAACGCACGACCCCCGCATAGAGGCGGCGAACTCCTTCCCTGGGGCCCCCGAGATTTGGCAGTAATTTGTGTAAGGCACCTACTACCTTCTCTATACGGGGGGCCAAGCGGTTGAAGTGCTCCTCGAAGCCCCAGCGACTATCCAGAGTGAGACCAAGATATTTCATCACTGGTCTCACCGGGATCTGCACGTCACCCACGCGAACCGACCAGCTGGGTGGATCCCTTCCTCTAGGAAGTTTGTGGAACCAAAGCGCCTCGGTCTTATGAGGCGCTATCCGAAGACCCAGCTCATGGATTTTGCCCACAACGCAAGCCACCCCAAGCTCAGCGAGCCAACTGGTGCTCTCGAAGCTACCCCCGTCGGCCAATACTAGAGTGTCGTCTGCATAGCAGATAACACTTACACCGACGGGGAGAACAGTTCGTAGGACGGCGTCATATGCGAGGTTCCAAAGTAATGGCCCTAAGACGGACCCCTGTGGAACCCCGCAGTTCACCTCCCTATAATGGACTAACGCGTCCCGACCCACGTACTGAATGCACCTGCCGTGCAAGTACGCCCCGATAATACGCTGCAGATAGGGGGGTACCTGGTGGTAGGTCAGTGCTTCCCTGATTGTACGCCAGGGTAATGAATTGAAGGCATTGACGATGTCTAAGCTGACCGCCAATGCCACACCACCCTGGGTAACAGCCCTCTGCGACTGGTCTCGGACGCAAAGGATTGCGTCAACAGTTGACCGAGCCTGTCTAATACCATACTGGCTATCCGATAGGTCGGGGCCTACCTGACGTAGGTGCATTTTGAGGCGGTCGGCAATAATTCTTTCAAATAGTTTGCCCGCCTCATCCAGCAAACAAATAGGTCGGAACGCAGAGGGAGCGTCAGCAGTCCTTCCATCCTTCTTCAATAGCACCAATTTGGCCTCCTTCCACCGTGAGGGAAAAACACCGGCTCCGAGACAGCTGTTGAAGAGCCGCCTCAGTCTCCCTCCCAGTCCGGCGGCGAGAGCTAGCACCCACACCCGACCATGAATACCATCAGGGCCTGGTGCAGTGTTCCGGCTTCGAAGCCGTTTAATGGCCCGGTCCATCTCGTCCTGAGTGACTCCCAATCCATCAGACCAATCGGTCTCATTCATAATTATGGTTGGGGGCTCAGGGATTTCCTGGGTTAGGGGGAAGAGCGTATCAATCACTCTTCCCACAAAAGTTGGGTCCAGGGTCTCTGTCAGTGGAGGGGCCCATGATCGGAGCTTGCCCAATACAATCTTATACGGGCGCCCCCACGGATCCCTATCCAGACTCTCGAGGAGTTCACTCCAGGACCGAGCCTTGGCTTCCTCGATCGCTCTTTGCAGTGCTTTTGTGGCACCTCTGTAAGCCTCGTATGCTCTCGCCTCCTCTTCGGCCGTGGCCCGCCTTCTTCTTCGGCACCTGGAGTACTGGCGTCGAGCACGCAAACAGACTTCCCTCTGCCGAGCGATGGCTTCTGACCACCAGTATACTGCCCTTGGCCTGAAAGATCTGGTTCGAGGCATCGAAACATCACAAATTGACGTCATCGTAGCCCGGAACCAGGCCGCTTCCTCTTCAGGATCTGGAACCCTATCAGAGTGTGCCTCCGGCCATGACGCCACAATAGCTGCGGCCTCGAGCATATCTATGTTAACCCGCTTGAGGGACCAACGCCGCGGGCTGCAGTGGTGGACACCAATATTTGGTGGGCAGAGTGCCACATCAAATACGATATGGCGGTGGTCAGATAATGTGACTACTTCCTCCACTACTCTCCATCCCGACACCATATGAGTGGCAGAAGGAGTAGCCCACGATAAGTCCACAACCGATTCCCCCTGCCACCGCACACATGTACTCACAGAACCTCGATTTAAGAGACGGAGGTCTAGTCCTGCCGCCCACCCCTGCAAGGTTTCTCCCCTTGCATTGTCCCGCGTGGACCCCCAAGCTCTAGAATGAGCGTTGAAGTCTCCCAGGACAAGA